AACCCCTCCCCTCTAACAGTTGATTGGTTCCTGCCCCCTATAACTGTTGCTCCCTCTTCGTTGACGGTTATCTCTGACGATGGACTCCAGCAAGAGTCCGAAAGCTCAGTTTAATAAAATTACGATTCCAGTGATAAAGTCTGTGATAAAGTCTGTTGATTACCTGTTCGAGAAAACGTAGTAGTCAGCATAAAGGATGGACTCTATTTGGATTTTTGGGCCTTCCTTACTTAAATGCACAAATTCGGGTCAAACAATATCTGAATCACAAGACGGCTCGAGATCTATTGGTGGTCGACAGGAATTATCCGAGGAATTCTGCTAACATGGCCTAGGACCTTCTACCGAGGCTTGGAAAAGCGGCTCCAGACCTTTCATATGTCTGCTGAGCTTTACCTTTTTTGCACTTCCGATGACCAACTTGAGTTTTTCTAGTGGCTGTCGGAGAAACTACTCAAGTTAGCAAAACTTTCAAGTCAGGGAAAGAGAACAGTTTAGGCGTAATTTCCCAACGTATCCACATGTAAAGGACTCATAACAGACGTCGGTCGTGAACCATTTGTGATCGAAAAAACCGGCGTCATTTGCCTATACTTGTAGCATGACCAAAAATTCTCAAAATAAACAAAATTATCAGCACGACTATCTGATAATGCCAGTCGTGATTAAATAAGGCTTGCAGTATCACTGTCACAGACACAGATACTAATCGCAGGGTTACATAGTACAATTATACTCTGAGTAGTAGAGCCTTAGAGTGTAAGACAGTGCTGAACTGAGTAAAATCGGTACTGAAACCACTCACAGCTCAAGCGGCACACATTATTAGTGTCGTTGGTGGCATTTTGTGCCACGAAAACAATACGTAGTAACTAAACACAGCACCCTAGTTGCTTCTGTGGATATGGTACACAAGTTTGTCGTGACCCAAATCCGAGTGCAGCGCTCAACCTCTCGCCCCTCGCGACTGGTAGCACGTGCACTCCAGTGTTTACCGAGCCCGTTTCGGTTTGGCCAGTCAGCTTTAAGGCTGACTCACGCAGGACCTCACTGGGACAACTGCCGCGCTCCTACACTTCAGACACCGACCTCTTTGCGGTCGGTTGTGCACTCGTTCGACTGTCAACTTCCTCCAGCTTATTCTTCACTTCCTCCGTACAGTATGTACTGTTCTTTCCACTTGGTGTCTCAATTTTTCATCATTGACGCGTTACTTCTTGAAGTTTACTCACGGTCAAATCACAGAGAGCGCTGAGGTTAGGTTTAATACAAACAAACCCTCTGTCCATCGCGATGGTTAACGCTCGAACTCCGGCTTGACTGACTCTCGTCCTAAAGGCTTGCAGCAAGGTCGATGAAGCTTATGCCGCAGTAATTTTTGCAGCTTCTCTAACCTGCTTGCACACAGGCAGTTACGAGCATTCCCGAGCCCCAACCTTCAGGAACGGCCTCATTCTTTCATGCATGTTCAAGCACCTCATGAAGCGAAGGTGCCCGATTTTGACACAAGGCTAGTAGCTTTCAGCGGGTACGCCCTCCTCGTTGGCGCCTTATTGCTGCGCAGCCGACGACGAAAAGTTATTCATTAGAAGAGGGGGGTGCTCGTATGACACTATACAGTTTAGAGTGGGATAAAATTCTGCTTCAAAGGAAAGCTAAGACACGATTGGTTGAGAATCGAAGTTGAGGAGTTGCTTGAAGCGCTCAAGCCATCACCCGACCTTGAGCGAGTTGTCAGTACTAATGCCGCCGCTCATTCACGAACAGTCACTCAGTTCAGGGAGCGGAGCTTCTGAGTGTCACCAAAGTTAGAGGCCTGCCCTATTAAAGTCGTAAGTTCAGTCCAATATTTTTGCTGGTCATCGTTTGCCGACGTTTCCATCATTTTCTGGAGTTGGAGAAGGGAATCTCAATCACAGCACCTGACTCAACCCACCTACACACAAAAGGGACTATATCCTATTCTGAAGAGTACGCGTTAGCAGGTCGACGGATGGGGCCGAGAGTAACATTGCATACTGTCCCTAACTGCAACCGAAAGCTCACTTCTTATTTATGCCCAAAAGCTGTCGTTCAAGGCATTGTGAAATCGTATAATTACGACAGTCCAAAAGAATTAAGCTGAAGGCAGAAGCAACTAGTCATTCTTTCGTACACATTTTGTGAAATATTCGTGATGATTCTCGTGTCCTCTCAGAAAGACCTCAGCGTGATGATAAACTCCAGAACCATCAGTTTTCTG